AGATGGGGGGGCGAGAGAGAGAGAGAGAGGAGAGCAAGGGAGGAGAGGCAAAAGTAGTTGGGGGAATACATATAGGAAGGCATATAAATTAACAACTTAAAAAAGTGTGCTGGAGAGAGGAACCAAATGGCACTCAGTGCATGCAGGAATTAACATGAGGTCAGTCAGAAGACAAACAGGGACTGTTCTGAAGTAAAAACTAGAATGGACCACCGACAAAGCATGCTTTTATTTTCAAGAATGACTTCCTATCATAGAAACCATTTCCTCTGGGTCCTCACTAAGGGTCATAACATAAAACACTCCTGCAAAACAGTAGACTGAGAATGGCTGCTCAAGGCAGGCATGGTCTGTTAGAGCACAGGTTCAGCGTAAGACCGGAAATGACCATGAAGCATAAGCAGGCAACCAGATAGTACGACCAGGACAACTACGGGCAGGATCCCTGACAGAAACTCAGTGAGACCCTAACTGGACAGAGAACTGAGGTGTAATGGATTATAAGCCTCTTATCTTCCCCTGAGGTTGAGTACAATGAGAGGAACCTGGCTCAGCAAGTGGTCACACAGCCCAGAGATGTGCTCAAGGTGCACTGAGTATTTAGACTCAGCAGTAGCTGCCTTTTCCCCAGTAGGGGAGCTAGCAGTGCACTGCGGCTCTTGGGCACTGAAACAAAGCCGAGAATGTCAGGGAGTCCACACAGCAAGCAATCAAGGACCCCTGGCGGGTGTGTGTATGGGGGGTGGTTGGTCCACACTGGAAGTGAGGGCAGATAGAAGGGTCTGGGATAATAAACACATTACCCTTAGGGACATCTGCCATGTTATAAACAGTTTATCTCACTCTGGGGAGGGAGTGAGTAATGATAACCATTTTTATATTATACATAATAGTTGAAGTATAACCACTGCTTGCTAATTGCTCAAGCAGAAAATCTGAAAGAAGTTCTCCCATAGTTTTAGCTTGCTTCTTTCTAAAGAACCAAGTTAGAGAACATCACATAGTCCCTGGCACATGGGCACACTTAACAAGTGATCCTTATTATTGTTAACAGCATTATAATTATGATCATTTCCCAAGAACTATAGACCAGATTTGTAAGAATAAGTCTGGCAATGATCTCGGTGCTCTGAAAAGACACTAGCAGAACTACAACTTACTTATCTGTCCTCTAAGTAAGAACAACAAATCACCTTGGGCAGCCAGGGCCATGTTCCATATATAAACCACATTCTATAGAAAACCCTCATCAATATATCCAGATTATAGATTTACAGGTAGAAGGATAACATCTCTCCCCAGGATACAAGCTAATCAATTCTGATAACTAAGCTATGATCCTTCACCCTTAAAGGAAAAGGAAAAAACAAATAAAACAACAACAACAAAAACCAACAGCAAAACAAGGGACCAGAAGGTAGGTATTTCCAACTTCACAATTCACAAAGACTATCACACTTATTACATCTGCCACATTAGTGCAATAACAGCACAGACCACAGGTAAATGGGTGAGTGTGACTTAGTTCTTTTTTTTTTTTACTTAGTTCTAATGAAATGTTATTTACAGAAATATATGATATACTGGATTTTGCCAACAGCCTGCTAGCACCTGACTAGAGCAAAGAAAAGGCTTATAAGGCTCTGCTCCACCTCATAAGCAGGGAAGGGAAGAGATTTTTATCATCAGGTAAGGTGTAAAGACATTGGTCAAAGGAAGAATGTGTTACCGGAGGCCTTAGGTACAAGCGTAGCTACTGCATATAGGCATCAACTGATGAAGGTCAAGAGGCAACAACCAAGGGTCATCCTTTTAAGACAGAAGCCCAAGGGCCAGCCAGATAACTCAGCAGATAAAAGTGCCTCCAAGCAGGCGCAGGGGCCAAGGTTTGATCCCCGGGCCTGCCATGCTAGCCGCACCCCTGGGGTGTGCTGAGTGGCAATTGAGACTGGGCATGGTGGCACACGCCTGTAATCCCAGCTCTTGGGAGGCTGTAAACAGGTGGATCACTATGAGTCCAATCTAGTAATGAGACTCTGAACACCCTGTAGACCCTTCCCTAAAATACACACACACACACACACACACACACACACACACACACACACACGACAGAAGTCCATTAGGAAAGCAATCTTTCCTAATTCTCCAGGTACCTAAATATATGGATAGATAGATAATGCAATGTTATTTTTATGAATTAGTAGAAGGAAGAAGTCTAGGTTGTGAGGCTGCAGGGAAAGTTGTAAGACAAATGAAGAAAATTAGATCACTATGACAATAATTCAGATGGTGCAAGTTTTCCTAAAGGGGAATTTATTCCAAGTGGGGTATTAGGAAAAGTGTGAAGACTGACAGCCTATCTTCTCTTCAGGTAAAAGCAAACAGAGTAGCTCCAGATAACGACATAGTTCAGAGTGGGGTCCTCATTGGAGTGAGATGCGAGGCAAGGAGAGAAGGAAGCAAAAAATAATTCACTGAAGAGCAAGTAGTGATTGAGTAATATTCAGAGCAATGCAATTCTCAAACCATAACAGATCCCCACTGCTGATGTTACAAATCACCACAGACTTGGTGTATTAAAACAACAACAACATGACCCTACAGTTCTGGAAGTCAGAACTCCAAAGCAGGTCACACAGGGCTAAGCTCCAGTGTAGGCAGCACTGTCTTTTTCTCAAGGGTCTACAGAGTTCTTCTTCCCAGCTCCTAGAAGTTGACAGCATTCCTTGGTTTGTGCTCTCCCTCTTCCCACCTTCCAGGGTGACAATGTCAGCTCAAGTCTTTTTCACACTGCATC